CGGTGGGCAGCGCACTGGGGCCTCTGTGGGCGCTCTCGGGGCCTCTGTGCGCTGGGGCCTCTGTGGGCTGCGTCGGAGGCCTCAGTGGAACGCGCGCGGGGGCCTCTGTGGGCGCTCTCGGGGCCCTGTGGGCTGGGGCCTCTGCGGGCGCGTGTGGGGCCTCTGTGGGCTGCGTCGGGGGCCTCGGTGGGCAGCGCGCGGGGGCCTCTGCGGGCGCGCTCGGGGCCTCTGTGGGCGCCCTTGGGGCCTCTGTGGGCTGTGTCGGGGGGCCTCAGTGGGCAGCGCGCTGGGGCCTTTGTGGGCGCGCTTGGGGCCTCTGTGGGCTGGGGCCTCTGTGGGCTGCATCGGAGGCCTTAGTGGACAGCGCGCTCAGGGCCTCCGTGGGCGCGCCTCTGCGGGCTAAGGCCTCTGTGGCCGCATATGGGGAACCTCTGTGGGCGCGCTTGGGATCTCTGTGGGCTGGGGCCTCTGTGGGCTGCGTCGGGAGCCTAAGTGGGCAGCGCGCTGGGGCCTCTGTGGGCGCTCTCGGGCCTCTGCGGGCTGTGTCCGAGGCCTCAGAGGAGGGCAGCGCGCGGGGGCATCCGTGGGCTCGCTTCACGACTCTGTGGGCTGGGGCCTCGGTGGGCGCCCTTGGGGCCTCTGTGGGCTGCGCCGGGGAGCCCGGGTGGACAGCGCGCTGGGGCCTCTGTGGGCGCGCTCGGGGCCTCTGTGGGCGCGTTTGGGCCTCCGTGGGCTGGGGCCTCTGTGGGCGCGCTGGGACCTCTTTGGGCTGCGCTGGAGGGCCTCAGTGGGCAGCGCGCGGGGGCCTCGGCGCGCTTGGCGCCTCTGTAAGCAGGACTCACAGTGGGGGCGCTCGACGCCTCTGTAGGAAGTCGGCGCCTCAATGGACAGCGCGCTGGGGCCTCTGTGGGCGCGCTTGGGGCCTCTGTGGGCGCGTTTGGGCCTCCGTGGGCTGGGGCCTCTGTGGGCGCGCTGGGACCTTTTTGGGCTGTGCTGGAGGGCCTCAGTGGGCAGCGCGCGGGGGCCTCGGCGCGCTTGGCGCCTCTGTAAGCAGGGGTCACAGTGGGCGCGCTCGACGCCTCTGTAGGAAGTCGGCGCCTCAATGGGCAGCGCGCTGGGGCCTCAGTGGGCACGCTCGGGGCCTCTGTGGGCTGTGTCGGGGGCCTCAGTGGGCAGCGCGCTGAGGCCTCTGTGGGCGCGCTTTTGACCCCTGCGGGCTGGAGCCTCTATGGGCGCGCTTGGGGCCTCTGTTGGCTGCGCCAGAGGGCACCAGGTGGGCAGCGCGCGGGGGCGTCTGTGGGCGCGCTCGGGGCCTCTGTGGGCTGGGGCCTCTGTGGGCGCGCGTGGGGCTTCTGTGGAACGGAGGGCCTCTGTGGGCTGGGGCTTGGGCCTTTGTGGGCTGTGTCGAGAGCCTCAGTGGGCAGCGCGCTGGGGCCTCTGTGGGCGCGCTTGGGGCCTCTGTGGGCTGGGGCCTGTGGGCGCGCTTGGGGCCTCTGAGGGCTGGGCCCTCTGTGAACTGTGTCGGGGGGCATCGCGCTCGGGGCCTCTGTGGGCGCGCCTGGGGCCTGTGTGGGCAGTTCGGGGGAGCCTCTGTGGGCGCGCTTGGCGCCTATGTAGGCATTGACAGAGGGCCTGCGGGCAGCATGCTACAGTCCCTGTGGGCCTATTCTGGGCCTCAGTGAGTTGCGTGTTGGGGGCGTCTGGACCTCTGTGGGCTGTGTCCGAAGGCATCAGTGGGCAGCGTGCTGGGGCCCCTTGTGCGCGCGTTTGGAGCTTTTGTGGGCTGTGTCCGAAGGCCTCAATGAGCAGCGTGCTGGGGCCTTTGTGGTTTAGGGGCCTCTCTGGCCAGGTCGTGTAGGAGTACTCGAGGGGCTGTCGAGCGGGAGCCCCTGTCGTCGCAGGTGGGCCTCCGGCGCCGCTACTGAACTGCAATCTCCGGCCACGGGCTCTCGAAGTACAGCTTGAGGAAGTAACGAACGGGAGCCCTTGTCGTCGCGCATTGGCCCACACCAAATTGACTGAATGACGAGGGCATCTCAGCGAGAACGCCACTCTTGAGTTCGGGGGCTCTGCGAAGACATCTTGAGAAAATGTCGAACGAGAGCCCTTGTCGTCGCATTTCGGCCTCCACCAGTTTGACTGAGTCAAAAACAAATCACGACCGAGAGCGCCGTTCCTGAGTTCGGGGGCCTTCCTGGCCAGGGGCTCTCGGAGTAAATCGCGAAAAAATATCGAGCAGGACCCCTTGTCGTCGTGGCTGGGCCCCCGCCAACTTGATTGAAATGCGAGGAAGTCTCGAGCGAGAGCGCCGTTCCTGAGTTCGGGGGCCTCTCTGGCCAGGGTGTCTCGACGTAAATCCCACCAGCCCTTTGGGCGTGAGTGGTTTAGGGAGCTCTCTCTGTCCTCAACCCCCCTTCTTCCCCTTCGGGGAGGGCTTTACCCATCCCCCTACCCCCTCCCCCTGGACCTGGAGAGGGAGTTCCGAGCGTCGTCAGGGGGGTCTTGTTCGACGCCTGGGAGGGCCAAAACCGACGACCCTCACGAGGATTCTGGCCCCGAGGGGGGGGGGGGGCAGTTTGGTGCATCAGCTCGTCTTTGAAGCAAAAATCATTGATATTACTACGGTTTTGGCGCCATTTTGGCCTTCTGAGGGGGCCGCGTTCCTCTTCCTTCATAGCAAAATCATTGATTTTACGAAGGTTTTGGGCTCATTTTGGTCAAATCAGGGGGTCGCAAGAGGCTCCAAGATGGACCCAAGAGGCCCCCAGGAGGCTCCCAAGAGGCCTCCAGGAGGCCCCCAAGAGGTCCCCAAGAGGCCCCAAGAGGTCCCCAAGAGGCTCCCAAGAGGCCCCCCAGAGGCCCCAAGAGGCCCCCAAGAGGCCCCCAAGAGGCCCCCAAGAGGCCCCCAAGAGGCCCCCAAGAGGCCCCAAGAGGCTCCAAGAGGCCCCCAAGAGGCCCCACGAGGAGCCCGAACGACTCACACCAGGACGAGGGGCCCGAACGACTCACACCACGAAGAGCCCGAACGACTCACACCACAAGGAGGGGCCCGAACGACTCACACCAGGACGAGGCGCCCGAACGACTCACACCACGAGGAGCCCGAACGACTCACACCACGACGCGGGCCTCGAACGACTCACACCACGAGGAGCCCGAACGACTCACACCAGGACGAGAGGCCCGGTGTTATGCGGGGGCAGGCGGAAACACGCCTGAAAAACACGACTGTCGGCATGCTTCGCAAGAGTTGCTGCTGTGAGATGGGCTGGTGGGGATACGCGAAGCGTAAATAATTATGAAGAAGTATCGATCGGGAGCGGTTGTTGTCGTAGCTGGGCTTCCAAGGGCCCACTTCTAGGGTCAAACCAACGCTCGAGCGGGAGCTTCGTTTTCTGAGTAAATGTAGCCGGCGAGGCGAGAGCGCCCGGAACCGTTTCCGGAGATCAATCAAACAATGTCTAGAAAGTAATAGCCAACAACAACAACACCAACACCAACACCAACAACAACAACAACAACCACAACAACAACAACAACAACAGCAACAGCAGCAGCAGCAACAACAACCACAACCACAACTACAACCACAACCACAACCACAACCACAACCACAACCACAACCACAACCACAACCACAACCACAACCACAACCACGACAACAACAACAACAACAACAACAACAACAACAACAACAACAACAACAACAACAAGGAACAACAACAAGGAACAACCGCGTGTGAATGCCCCATGGTCCCAAACCTCGTTCCCCGCGTTCTTCCCTAAGGTGGAACCGCGCGTCTGTGCCCCATTTGCCGGTTCGGATCCCCCCCCCAGCAACCAGCAACCAGCAAGCAGCAACCTGGGACTCCGTACCCTGCTCCGCTGGCGAATTCGCTCGCGTAAGGGTGTGGACTCATCCTCCATGCCATTTTGCCGTGTCTGCACCAGCGAAGCTCCGGAATCGACGGAGTCCTCTCGGATCCTTAGGTGGATCCAGCTCTACTACAATCCTATCACTGGTGGATCCAGCTCTACTACAATCCTATTAGTGGTGGGTCCACCTCTACTACAATCCTGTTAGTGGTCGGTCCACCTCTACTACAATCCTATTACTGCTGGATCCACCTCTACTACAATCCAACTACTGCAGCTGAAGCCAGGGATGTGCCGACATGAAGCTTCGGTGGGGTTCCCTTCGAAGCCAGGGCCGCGATCCTGGACAGGGGTGTGCCGAAATGAAGCTCCGGCGGAACGCCCTGTGGAGCCAAAGCAACAATCCCGTGGGGAGGTCCACCGAAATGAAGCTTCGGTGGGCCTCCCTAAGGGATTGTTGCTGGTTGCTGGTTGCTGGGGGGAGGGGGGGGACCACGGGGCCCCAACCCCCGTTTAGTCAAACAACAACAACACAACAACAACAACAACAACAACAACAACAAGGACAAAAACAACAATAACAACGAACACACAAACTCAGAATTTTCACCACGAGTTCCCTATTCACTCTCAAACCCAAGGACAGCTAATGACCGTTCGGCCCCCACTGTGATATTTATAAGAGCATACCGGAACATTCCAATTACATAATTTGAGTATTTGGTGGTGATAGATTAAAGTGTGCTTAAAGACACACACATATGGACATACACGTATATGAGCCAAAAAATGGCGGAGGAACCGGACACTTGGCGGACAAATCCCTCCTTGAACTAGCGGGGGCGGCCGACGAGCAGCTGACGCGAGCCGCCGCAAAGCTTTCGAGCGGCGGGATGCCGCACGAAGGCGTCCAGCCAAAAACTTGCGAGACGATTCGGAGGAGGTCGGCAAGCCACGAAGAGCTTCGGCCACGAAGAAAATCGTAGTTTCCGTTGGCTTCGAGACCCCAGGAATGACGGAGGGGGAGGAGGAGGACGAGGAGGAGCAAGAGCAGGAGCAGGGGGAGGGCCCAGGCCGACCGAGGCAGAAGAGGATGAAAAGTGGAGTGGCCCCCACATGCGTTCCTGCGCTTCTCCTTGTCGGACAAAACCTGCGCTTCGGGCGCGAAGTCGCGAACAGGGGGCGATGGGGGGGAACGGGAGGAGGAGGAGGGGGGAGAGGAAGAGGAAGAGGAGGAGGAGGAGGAGGAGGAAGAGGAGGAGGAAGAGGATGACGAGGAGGAAAAGGAGGAGGAGCACGAAGAGGGGTAAAAGGAACAGGACGAAAGGAAGGAGAAGAAGAAAAGGAGTCAGGTCGAGAATGGGTAGGCGGAGATGATCGGCGAAAGAGGTGAAATTGCGTGGGGGCCTGGGGGAACATAGTGGAAGGATGACGAGGAAGAGGATGCAAAAGAGAAGCATGGTGAGAGGATAGGGAGGCGGACGACACAGACGAGAAGTGAACGAAACAGATGTGAATGACTAAAGAAGCAAAGAGGATAAAAGGAGGGAAGAGGAAAAGGACATCCGCATGCAGGGGGTTCAAAATCAAAACAGGTACGCTGGTGCCTTGCGCGCATCTGGCAAAATCCTGTGCGATTGGTTGCGTAACGGCCCAGGTTTCTCACTAGAACCAGCAGGGGCATACCCCGTTGCTCAGGGAGTGCGCTCCGACTTGGCCACGTAGGAGAGACTCGCTACCTTACGATTACGAGTCCACGCGGGTCAATGCGGGGGGGGTGCAGCTGCTGGCCCTTCAACGCGCCCAAGGGATGGGGGCGCGCAGGCTTAGCAGGGCGCCCGAACTAGGGGCGACAACTCAAAAGGAGGAGGGGGGGCGTCGGGAGGCCAGCGTTTCCCAAACATTTGCTGGGGGGCCGAAATACCCTACTGATTTTATTATATCCGGTTCTCTCCTCCCTTGTTCGGCTCACTTCTCGTCCACATCGAACTGGCCGGTAGTTGTCCCTTGCATTGCCGTATCTGTACACTGATAACCCTGTTGAAAGATCCCACTGTACCACCTCGAAATGAATGCGAGTTTGAGCATGCTGCTAGTCCCGGTATGTTGTAGGTGGGGCCATCGAGAATGCGCTCTGGCGGCTTTCGCGACGACCATTTTTCCCCCAGTCACCGCCCTGCAATAACGTATCAGTCGGCATCCCCCCCCAAAAAAAAAACTCGCGTGGCGATGTCAGTGCGGGCGCTCTGTTTGCCCGTCCTGTTTGCCTGGGGTAGACCTTCGAGATAACCTCGCCAATGCATCTCTTGGCTTTGCCAGTGGGCTCGTCCAGCTTGCCCAAAGAAGCACTCCGAGAAATTCTCGCCGATGCATCTCGTGGCTTTCCAATGGGCTCCACTTGGTGCTCTCGCTGGCGTCCGCTAGACAAGCTGGCCGTCGTCGTCTCTTCCGACTTGGGGTAGGCGGACTTTTCCTCGAAGGTCTCCGAGCCATCCAGCAGGGTCTGCGTGCCGTCTCGTAGCTTCTGCCACTCTTTGAGCCTTTTCACTCCCTCTGGGTCGAGATTGTCCTCGCTACTCAGCTCCTGCACGGCGGCCTTCGTGACATTGTGGGGCTCTTTTCGTCATTTGTCGAAGTCTTCAGCGCCAACTCGCGCCAGCTCTGCACAGTGAGAGCCTTCTGCCCAGCCCTTCCCCACGCGTCCACAGGATACCTTGCGATGATATCGCAACCTTTAACCTAGTGCGTCATCGGGAAGGCTACGGGGATCAGCTCGAGAAGCTCCTCTGGGTCATGTTTTCGCGCGGAGTCGTAGAACTTGCAATGGCACTCCTTGATGACGCCGTCTAGCTACTACGAAAACCCTTTCCGCTAAGAGCGTTTCCCTGCCATTTCCCACATTGAGTTCCAGCACCATTGACGGCCCACTTTTTGAACAGGAGGAACTTTGACTTGCACCCGATGTCAGGCCACCCCTCCCAGTCATCGCCGAAAGCGCCCTTCATCTTGTCCACCCACTCGTTCATGAACTCATCTTCTGTGTGGCTCTCCTGCGCCTTCACGAGCTGCGGCCAGTCCACCTTGCACCAAAACTGCCACTTGTCCCCTCTTGAGTCGGCGCTGGGGCCTTTCCACCGAAATTTGTTCGGGAAGGCAAACCCGCACGAGCAGGTTACGCCCTTCTTTTCGTTCCATCCTGTGTTCGTCCTGGGGAGGAGGAGGATAAACAGGATGACATCGATAACTGTGGCAGTAAGAGAAGGCATCAAGGACACGGCACTGGCATTATCATTCTCATCCTCCTCCAAGCAGACTTCCAACTTGGCAGCCCACGGCCCCGCAGGGAGGAACCCGGCCTCGGCCCATGGAAGAGCGCGCCCCCCCGGAGCGGCCCCAAGACCCACCCAAGGGCTCTTCACTATCATGAACCATCTCCCGATCATGGAGGCCTCCCAGATGGGGTTCCGAGCCGAGGGGGTCGGAGTATCGCCCCGCATCGCAAATGCATCAGCGATGCATTGGCGACATTGGGAAGGTTGCCCATCCTAACTATGCGGGTCGACTGTATCTGACATATTTTCCATTTGTGTGTTCGGGAGCGGCCAAGAGGGGGGTGTCCAAGACGGGGGGTGCAAATCATGGCCGGCGGCATGTGCGCGGTCCAGCGGGGGGGCCAGGGACGTAATGAAATCAGAAGAGGCGCCATGATATCTCCGCCCCCCCCCCTAGTCATCACCCCCCTCTTTGCCGCCCCCGATGTGCGTGTCTTTCCCTCCTGTGCCTGGGAGCTTCCGGGGCCCTGCTGGGCCTCGCTGCACCCTCCGGGGAGCCCTTCGGGGCCGCCGCGGCCTCCCCTGCCGGCCCTGGGGGTGCACGATGGACCCTGGGCGCCTGCTCCTCCCCCTGCTCGTCCTCCTCCTCCTCCTCCTCCTCCTCCTCCTCCTCCTCCTCCTCGTCTTCCTCCTCCTCCTCCTCGTCTTCCTCCTCCCCCTCCTCCTCCTCCTCCTCCTGCTCCTGCTCCGCCTCCTCCTGCTCGTCCTCCTCTGCGGGTGGGATAGTGAGCCCACGGCTCGGACGATAGGCTTTTGTCAGTCCAGGCGTGTCTCATCGATTCCGACCTCAATGGCCCATTATCGTCGGGCCCCTGGTGCCCTCCAGAATGGTTCTGGGGCGAAAGACTGGCCCCGTGGAAGGGGTCGGGACCTTCAGGGCCGAGCATCGTGACAACAACGAGTCGATGGATTTCTGGGATTAACAGCACTGACACAAGCGTCGTCTCAAGAGTTGTGCGTGCGTTTCGTCCGCTTCGATGCATAACACGTGTTTAACACTAACGCGCTCGCTGATGGGATCGCCCGACTGGTGTGACATCGACACTTTCTGCGTTCTGGAAGATCACTTCCCCAGACCTTCATTCGGCGGATCAGATTTTTCAACCCGCGTGGCCCCGAACTCTCTGCCCCTTCCACGGGGCTGATTTCTCATCCCGCACCACCTCTGTAGCAGCTCCCAGGGTCTGAGGACGGCCTCCAGAGAGGCCGAAATGTGGAGGGCACGACCCGGGATTGAAAGCACCAGTCCGACACGGGCTTCGCTGGCGGCGTGCACGAGGGGGGAGGGGGAGGGGGGAAGGCTTCCCAGAAGAAGGCTGCCTCGTAGAAGGCGCGCGGCCTTACATCTGCAGACATGGGGCCTTCTGAGAAGCAAAGGTGCTGCTTCTAAGGAGCCTTCCCCCGTCCCCTCTGCACGTGGCCGACGGTCACCTTTTATCGTTTCCCGGTGACCTTTGGGTTATACCTCGGCTCTCCGCTGGCCGTTCGGCACGATCCTGGCATCCCTGGAACGCTCTCGGTGAGGCGCAGCCGCTGAAAGGAACAGCGAGGCTGGAAAGCCGCCGAGATGCAACAAAAACCGCCCGAAAACCTGAAGAAGCCAGAAGGCTGATCATCATCACTATCTGCGCGTGGCTGGTCACTATCGCCATCTTGAAGGGGCCCTGAGACACACAAACAAATGTACACCAATAACAGGATCCCCCACATCTTCGTATATTTTCTTGGCCGTTGTCCTCCCCCCCACTTCCCATATTCTCCCATATTCCCTGGGGCATCTAGGATTCATTGTGCCTGTGTGCTTTCTTCCCTTTTTTCATCTGCGCGTGGCCGATCTGCACCTGGGGAATCGAGGATTCATTGTGTATGTGTGTTTTTCCCCATATTTCCTGGGGGATCGAGGACTCGTTGTGTCTGTATGCTGTTTGCCCTTCCTGACATCTGCGCGTGGCCGATCTGGACCTGCCGCCTTGGCACGGGAGGAGCGGCGCTCGAGGGGCACAGGCCCTGGGCCCCGGGACCTCTCCTCAGCACCAGCTTGAAGTCGGGCGTGTCCTCCTGCAGGGGAATCTTCGACGGACAATTCGAAATACCCTAAACATGCACCAAAATGGTCAAAAAATAATCAAAAAATAGTCGCCCGACTATTTTTGGATTCTTTGTTGGTTATGTTTGGGGTATTTCTTGTTTTTCGTCGAAAATCCCCCTGTAGGGGGACAGGCCCGACTTAACACCAACTTGAAGTCGGGCGTGTCCTCCTGCAGAGGGATTTTCGGCGAGAAATTAAAAATAGTCACAAACATGCCCCCAAAATGGCAAAAAAATGCTCAAAAATCGTCCCCATACTATTGTTGGACTATTTTTGAATATTCTTCCTGTCGAGGGACAGGCCCGACTCAACACCAGCTCTGCATGCCCGACTTGACACCAGGCCCGACTCAACACCAGCGTTCGCGGCTCCAGGGCCCGGGGAGGGCCAGGAGAGCTCCAGCACACAGAGGAGGCCAGAGAGCTCCAGCACCCAGGACGCCCCTTGATATTTGGCGTGGGAGCGTCACGCTTCCCGTGGCAAAACCGTCGACATCCAAGAAACCCAGGGCACCCTGGAGGCAAGCAGAGTGTTTCTCAGCATGGGCCTCCACCGTGTAGAAAAACGCACCCCTCGTGCTCTTTCCCAGGGCGCGGCAAAAGGGGGCCCCCTGCCGCTCCCCGGGGCAATTTTCCCGTCCCGGGCCCGTTCCTGACGGCCCCGGTGCTCGCAAGCGGGCCGCAGGGGCCGAGCTTTAAGTCGGGCCTGTCCCCCTAACTAAAGGATTTCGACGAAAAATAAGAAATGCCTCCAAAATGACATAAAAACAATATAAAAATAGTCCAAAACCTATGTTTTGAGTATGTGTGGGCCTTTTTGGGGCATTTTTGGTGCATTTGTTCCCAACCCTCCTGCGTTGGGTTCTCGTTTTGAATAGAGCACTGCTCGCGCGAACCTTCCCACCCCTCCCCGTCCTTCTCTCCCCCCCTGCCTTTGACCTCGCTCGTCGCTGCGTTTCGAGGGTTGCTGGGGGGCTGCGATCTGTGAAACTGTCGCCACTTTCGAGGGTTGCTGGGGGGCCCAGCACAGTGGGTACCCACGGCGGATTCAAATGGGACCTCGCCAGCCCTGGGGGGCTGCGATCTGTGAAACTGTTGCCACTTTCGAGGGTGCTGGGGGGCCCAGCACCGTGGGGACCCACGCAGATTCAAATTAGACCTCGCCATCCCTGGGGGGCTGCGATCTGTGAAACTGTCGCCACTTTCGAAGCCTGCTGGGGGGCCCAGCACAGTGGGTACCCACGGCGGATTCAAATGGTACCTCGCCATCCCTGGGGGGCTGCGATCTGTGAAACTGTCGCCACTTTCGAGGGCTGCTGGGGAGCCCAGCACAGTGGGCACCCACGGCGGATGCAAATGGTACCTCGCCATCCCTGGGGGGTTGCGATCTGTGAAACTGTCGCCACTTTCGAGGGCTGCTGGGGGCCCAGCACAGTGGGTACCCACGGCGGATTCAAATTGGAGCTCGCCATCCCTGGGGGGCTGCGATCTGTGAAACTGTCGCCACGTTCGAGGCCTCCTGGGGGGCCCAGCACAGTGGGGACCCACGGCGGATTCAAATGGGACCTCGCCATCCCTGGGGGGGTGCGATCTGTGAAACTGTCGCCACTTTCGAGGGCTGCTGGGGGGCCCAGCACAGTGGGCACCCACGGCGGATTCAAGTGGGACCTCGCCATCCCTGGGGGAGTGCGATCTGTGAAACTGTCGCCACTTTCGAGGCCTGCTGAGGGAGGGGCCCAGCACAGTGGGCACCCACGGCGGATTCAAATGGGACCTCGCCATCCCTGGGGAGCTGCGATCTGTGAAATTGTCGCCACTTTCGATGGCTGCTGGGGGGCCCAGCACAGTGGGTACCCACGGCGGATTCAAATGGTACCTCGCCATCCCTGGGGGGCTGCGATCTGCGAAACTGTCGATACTTTCGAAGCCTGCTGGGGGGCTCAACACAGTGGGTACCCACCGCGGACTGACACTAGACCTCGCCATTCCTGGGGGGCTGCGATCTGTGAAACTGTTGCCACTTTCGAAGCCTCCTGGGGGGCCCAGCACAGTGGGTACACACCGCGGACTGGATTTAGACCTCGCCATCCCTGGGGGCTGCGATCTGTGAAACTGTCGCCACTTTCGAGGCCTGCTGGGGGGCCCAGCACAGTGGGTACCCACTGCGGATTCAAACTAGACCTCGCCATCCCTGGGGGGCTGCGATCTGTGAAACTGTCGCCACGTTCGAAGCCTGCTGGGGGGCCCAGCACAGTGGGTACCCACGGCGGACTCAAATGGGACCTCGCCATCCCTGGGGGGCTGCGATCTGTGAAACTGCCGCCACTTTCGAGGGTTGCTGGGGGGCCCAGCACAGTGGGGGGGCTCCCTGTCGCCACTTTCGAGCGCTGGGGGGCCCAGCACTCCCACGGCGGAAAATAGGACCTCGCCATCCCTGGGGGGCTGCGATCTGTGAAGCTGTCGCCACTTTCGAGGCCTGCTGGGGGGCCCAGCACAGTGGGTACCCACGGCGGATTCAAATGGGACCTCGCCATCCCTGGGGGGCTGCGATCTGCGAAACTGTTGCCACTTTCGCGGCCTGCTGGGGGGCCCAGCACAGTGGGTACTCACCAAGGACTCACATGGGACCTCGCCATCCCTGGGGGGCTGCGATCTGCGAAACTGTTGCCACTTTCGCGGCCTGCTGGGGGGCCCAGCACAGTGACGCCACACGCAGATTCAAATTAGACCTCGCCATCCCTGGGGGGCCGCAATCTGTGAAACTGTCGCCACTTTCGAAGCCTGCTGGGGGGCCCAGCACAGTGACGCCTCCCAAGTAGCTTACACATCAAGTTGATTGTCCATACAAGTTTCGGGCACGTCACAGGGTAATTATCTGTCGTCGAAAATCCCCCTGTAATGAGGGGGACACGCCCGACATAAGCCGAGCTCGAGGAGCAGCGCCCCGATTGAGGCAGTCGCACCGTCGGAGAAAACTGGGAAAACCCACAGGCCCGCCTGCTTGCGGCGGTGGACAAGCCTCCCTTTAGCAAACCTCTCCTTGGTGAAAACGGCAAGGGGACCCGCAAGAGGTGGCGGCCGCGACGCCCGCGCGCGAACCGAAAACGGCGAATTCCTGGATCGACGCGTCAGGGTAGGAGGTCTGCCCACCCCCGCCTGCTTCGTTGAAGGGGCCCTTGGACACACAAATAAATAGACACAAATAACAGGATTCCCAATATCTAACCATATTTCCTGGGTTTCTGTCCCCCCCCCCACACTTCCCATATGTTCATATATGTTCGGGGGAATCATGTCTGTGTGTTTTCCCCTTCTGAGCTTCGTGGCGAGCACCGCCCCCGCGGGCCGCGGGCCGCGGGCCTCCCTCTCCTCCTCCTCCTCCTCCTCCTCCTCCTCCTCCTCCTCCTCCTCCTCCTCCTCCTCCTCCCCCTGCCCCTCCCCCCCCTCCTCCTCCTCCTCCTCTTCCTCCTCCTCCTCGTCCTCCTCCTCCTCCTCCTCCTCCTCCTGAGCACGCGGGCCGCGGGCCTCGTAGGCCTCGGCCACCTCCCGGAACCTCTCCTCGGCCTCCTGGGCGCCGAAGGGGGCGGGGCCGCCCCTGGGGCCGCCGCGCCCGCGCGCGCACGCCCGCGGGCGCCGCTGCTGGCTGGGACGCCGCCGGCCTTCGCCGCCGACCTCCGGGGGCGGCCAAGAGGGGGGTGTCCAAGAGGGGGGGGTGCAACTCGTGGCCGGCGGCTTGTGCGCGGCCCAAGCGGAGGGGCCAGGGACGTAATGAAATCAGAAGAGGCGCCGTGACATCCGGGGAGATAGCATGGCCCCCGCCATGATATCCACCCACCCCTAGTCATCAACCCCCTCTTTGCCGCCCCCGACGGACGCCGCCGACCTGAGCAGCACGACGAAGCCGGGTCGAGGGCAGAACGTCGGACGGAGAGTCAGGTCGGGAATCTCTGAGATCCGGCGGATTTGGGAGCTGCATCAGGCGCCGTGGCCTTCTCAGGCGAGTTTTTTTTTTTCGTCGAAAACTTCCCTGTAGGGAGACAGGCCCGACTTAAGCCTAGCCGCGCCTCAGGCGCCGCCCCTGGCGCTCTCAGCGCGCAAATGGGGGCGGAGTCGCGGAGCGCGCAGGGGGCGGCACCGAAGGTGCCACAATGAAGGATCCCTGGGACACACAAATAAATACAAGCAAATAACAGGATTCCCCATATTGCTTTCCCATATTTTCTAGGTTTCTGTGTTCCCCCCCACTGCCCATATTTTCTTATTTTTTCTGGGAGATCGACGATTAATTGTGTCCGTGTTTTTTCTCCTGCTGAACGACGAAGCCGGGACGAGAGCAGAACTTCGGACGGAGATTCAGGTAGGGAATCTCTGAGATCCGGCGGAGTTGGAAGCTGTACAGTCGGACTTCATTGGACAGGACGCGCGAGAGGACAAAAGACCCTTCCGAGGGCCACCTTGCCACAGGAATGCAGGAGGCACGGGCCGCGAGACACAGGACACGAGGGTACCCTTGATCCGGCAGGGTCGACCTACTAATCTGGGCCGACTATATCAGTTGGCGGTGGACAAACCTCCCTTCAGTGAGCCACCCTTTAGTGAAAACGGCCTGGGACCGAAACCGACGGACCTGGACCCGCAAACATGACGGCCGCGACGCCCTCTCGCGCACCGAAAACGGCCCCTTCACTAAGCGACGTGTCAGGGCAGGAGGTTTGTCCACCCCCGAATCAGGCGCCGCGGCCTTCTCAGAGCGTCTTGGAATGCTCCGAGGGCGCAAGGGAAAGCTCGTCCTGGCCCCGTCCGATCGTTGCCTTCCCCGGGGGCGCTTCGGGGCCTCCGCGGCCTGCCCTGCCGGGCCCCTTGGGGGGGAACATTGGGCTCTGGGCCAAGATGCGGGAGGCGGACGATACAGTCGGCCTTGACTGGACAGGGCGCATAGGACTAGTATGTTGTTGCGCGTCGGGGCATCTGTCCTGGGTACAGCAACTCACTAGTATGTGACAGGGTACATCGTACTAGTACGTCCAGGGTGAAAGGGATGTGTGTCCCGACGCACAACAACATGCTAGTACTATGTGTCCTCCTTGGAGGCGCGCGGGCCACATCGCCACAGGAGTGTAAGAAGGCACGCGTCGCGAGGCACAAGACACATGGGTACCCTTGAGCTGGCAGGGTCGACCTGCTGATCTGGGCCGAGTGCAGGCTATTTTCAGTTCAGGCGTGTCTCATGGAATTCCGACCTCAATGGCCCTTTGTCGTCGGGCCCCTGGTGCCCTCCGGAGTGGTTCTGGGGCGAGAGACTGGCCCCGTGGAAGGGGTCGGGACCTCCAGGGCCGAGCACCGCAACGAAAACGAATCTCGCTGGATATCTGGGATTCACAGCACTGACGCAAGCGTCGTCTCAAGAGTTGTGCGTGCCTTTCGTTCGCTTCGATGCATAACACGTGATTAACACTAACGCGCTCGCTGATGGCATCGCCTGACTGGTGTGACATCGACACTTTCTGCGTTCTGGAAGATCACTTCCCCAGACCTTCGGCGGATCAGATTTTTCAACCCGCGTGGCCCAGAGCTCTCGGCCCCTTCCCCGGGGGCTGATTTCTCATCCCGCACCACCGCTGTAGCGTCGTCTCAAGAGTTGTGCGTGCGTTTCGTCCGCCCGATGCAGGTCGTTCAACACAGCCGACCCGAGCGGGTAGTGCTCCGATCCGAGCGGCCAGGGCGGGGCGGGGCCCGCAGCTGGGCCCCGACAGACCCGCCCGCCCGCATCCCGCGGCGCTGCCTCGTCCCCGCTCGCAGACACATCTACCTTCAGCTCGGACCTGTCCCCCTGCAGGGGGACTTTGGACGAAAAATCAAAGATGCTCAAAAGGTACTCAGAAAGATGCCCCACAATACTCAAAACATAGTCCCCCGACGATGTCTTGACTATGTTGAATATTCCCGCTGCAGAGGGACAGGCCCGACTTAAATCTACCGAAATCAGCGCCGGTTGGCGATACGTCGTGACGCTCGCCTGCGCTCGCTGCCTACACCTGGAATCAGATCCGGGCAAACGATCGTCAATCTGGCGATCGTTTGTCGGGAAGCTTCGTCGACCGTGGCGCAACTGAACATCACTTCTGCTTTGCATCGCGACCCCTGATCAAGTCTTGGTGGGCCCTGGAAACGGCAGGGCCGTTGTTTTAAAGTATGTTTTGACTATTTTTGAAGATTCCCCCTGTAGAGGGACAGGCCCGAGTTAACACCAGCTCTGCATGTCCCGAGGGCTTTCGCTCGCGGCCCGGGGCCCGGGGAGGGCCAGGAGAGCTCCAGCACACAGAAGAGGCCAGTCCACGAGAAACCCTTGGCGTCTGTTCCATGGGAGCCTACGTGGCCCCCACCGCTGCCCGATTTGGGCTGGATTTGGGCCAGATTTGGAACACATGTGGGACCCGATTTGGACCGGATTCGCCCGCTCACGGGAGACGAAAAGAAGAACGAGGGGGAGGAGGAGCAGGGAGGACGAGGAGGAGCAGGAGACAGGGCCAAATGCGGTCCAAATACGTGGCCCCCAGCGCTGCCCGGCGATCCGACAAAAATCTCTCCTGAAAATGGAGGCGGTAAAACACGGGAACGCCTGGAGCCTCAGAGGCACGCTGAGCGCCTCCTCCTCGGCTTTTGCGGTGCTCCTCGCCCTGCTGCTCTTCCTCCTCCTCCTCCTCCTCCTCCTCATCCTCCTCCTCCTTTTCCTCATCCCCCTCCCTCCTGCTCCTCCTCCGCCTCCTCCTCCTCCTCCTCTTCCTCCTATTCCTTATCCCCCTCCCTCCTGCTCCTCCTCCGCCTCCTCCTCCTCCTCCTCCTCCTTCTCTCTCCTCGTCCTCTTCCCCTCTCTCCCCACAACTGTTCATCTATCACCCTCCCCCCCTTCCTGTCCCCGATAGTCCTCCCCCGCCTTCTCCAGGAGAAGGCAAGGGGAGGGGGGGGGGGAAAGGAAGGGAAGTTACTTTTCTTCCTTCCTTCCCCCCCCCCCCCTGCCCCAATGCACCTTCCCCCCCCCCTTTCACCTCCTCCCTCCTCTTCCCTCTTCCCCCCCGCCTCTCGTCCCTCCCACTCCTGCGGCCACGCCCCCTCCCCCCGCCCCCCTCCCACTCGCGGTGTCTGTACCCGTTGGCCCTTGATGGGGGTGCTGTCGGCAGTGCTAAGGTACTTCGGAAGGCAATCCTGAGGCAGTCCGTCCATCGTCCACTGGCCGTCGTCCATCGTCGTCGTCGTTGTCGCCGTCCGCCGCCAACGCAGCCTCCTTGTTGTCAGGGTTCTTGTCGGGGTGCCACTTCAAGGCCATCTTCCGGTAGGCCGACTTGATAGCCCCGTCGTCCGCGTCCTGGGCTGTTCGCGGCTTGGCGAGCCGGCGCCAAGAGGGAGCGAGGTGCTGATGACATGTTTGTCGGAAGTTCGTTGGCGTTAAGCCCCAACTGCCTTAGGAGGCCTCCTCCTCCTCCTCCTCCTCCTCCTCCTCCTCCTCCCTCTCCTCCTCCCTCTCCTCCTCCTCCAGGAGAGGGAGCAAGTGGGAGGTGGGGAAAAGGGGGGTTATGGTAGACCGTCTCCGGTAGGGTCTCACATGGTCTCTCGCACGGTCTCCCATGTGGTCTCCCAACATGGTCTGCCGCATGGTCTGCCGTGTGGTCTCACGGTATGGTTCCCCGTATGGTCCCCCATGCGGGATCCCGTAGGATATCCCGTCTGGTCTCCCGAGCGGTCGCCCGTCCGAACTCCCGCAGTTATTCTGCCCCGGCAGGCCCCCCGCGTGCACGGTGCAACAGCATGCCCTCTGCTGTGCAGGTATTATGTTTGTGCCCTCCTGCCGCCAGGGTGACATGTGGCAAAGCCACGACGAGAGGAGGGAGCAGGAATCGTAGCAAGAGGTCCTACATTCTATGACAGGCTTCGGTGGCGTCCTTGTCTGTTGAGTGAAAGACGTAGGATAGAAATACATCCCCAGCTTTCCCGACGCCTTCCCCCCATCCTTCCTCCTTGTACTCATCCACCTTCTCTTTGTCTTCGTCCTCCTCTCCTCGTTCTCCTCGTCCTTGAAATCCTCCTCCTCCTCGTCTTCTTCCTCCTCGTCATCCTCGTCCTCGTCCTCGTCCTCCTCCTCCTCCTCCTCCTCCTCCTCTTCCTTTTCCTCCTCCTCCTCCTCCTCCTCCTCCTCCTCCTCCTCCTCCTCCTTCTCCTTCCTACACCCCACCCCACCACCCAACAACCCTGCCCCCGTCCACATCCCTTTGCCCGTTGCCTTCAAACCCTATCCTCCGTTCCTCCTTTCCTCCGATGTTGTGTTCCTCCGATCCCCCTTCTCTTCCTCCTCCTCCTCCTCCTGCCCCTTGTTGCCCTCCTCTTTTCAAAGAAACGGAAAAGACAGAGGCAAACCAGCAAACAACACAAGGGGGAGACAACCAGTCCTCGCGTCCCTCTGCTGGCCACTGGACAGCGCTGCGGGGGGAGAGGAAGGGAGGGGGAAATGTGGGGGAGTAGGCCGGCTGACAGGCGATGCCGCTAGGCTCGGGCTGGCGCGGCATTGCTCCACCTCGAGAAAATCCCCGCGATACCCCACGGAATCTACAACTGACACCCCCGACAGGTAAAACATCGCGCCCCCCAGCAACCAGTCGGGGACGACGGACCGCGGACGGACCAGACGGAAGAGGAGGCCGCGGAACCACAAGCAACAGGAAAGCACGAGGAAACGGGGACGAGGAACACATGATGGAGAGGGGGAAAAGGCAAGCAACGCAGAGAATGGAGGGGGCGCGGTTGAAAAAACGTTGATGAAATAGCTGGGCGGAGGGGTGGGCGGGGGGGAAAAGCAACCGCCCGTGGCCGCTTCGTCCTCCCTCTCCCTCTTCATTGTTCCCTCCACAATTACAGGCGGGTTATTGCGCACAGGACGCGAGACAGGACACAAGACTCTTCCGACGGCAACATGGCCTCCAAAACCATGACACAAGGGTACCCTGCCGAGGCCGCGACCGCGGTTACCCGCAGCCGACCCGCAACCCCGCGACGGGCGGCGCACGCCAGACAGGACGCAAGCGTCGTTGGTTCACAAGCGGCGCGCCCGAACTCAGAGGACATCGCAGATAGACCCTTCGCCGCGGCGCCAGCGGCGCGGCGCTGAAACCATAATCATACCTTGAAGCCACATGAGCCCCCAAATCCGAGAGGACGCCAGGGTACCCTAGACAGGGGCCGCGACCTCCCGCCGGCGCGACACGCTCAGACCGCCGCGGGCCAAGCCACCGACACCCGCGGAAACCACAGGACGCAAGGGTACCCTGCCCTTCGGCCGCAGAGGACACGACGCGCGATGCACAGGACACAAGAGTACCCTTGATTTCGCAGGGCCGACCTACTACTGGAACCCCACTGTACACAATATGAATACCACTCTACCATCTCCCCTGATGACGCCCGGAAAATGTTCGGCCCCCCTCCGCGCACTGTTTTTTACACAGGGTTCCCGGGAGTTGGGTTTTCGCTTGGGTCTGTGTTTTCGAAATTCTGTTCCCGCCGAAACGCTGTTTTTGGTTGTCGGGTGTCCGCTGATTCTGACTCGTGCTCCAGCTGCAGCCCTGGCCTCATTCCGCGCTTCCGTGCGTGCCGAACCGCGCTCCCGCTGCCACGCTGGCCTCACTTCCGAGCTTCCGCTCGTTCCCGACTCGTGCTCCCGCTGCAGCGCTGGCGTCATCTGGCCATCGCTCGGACGTCCATTCCCTGTGTTTTGTTTGATTTCGTGCGTAGCTTTTTCGCCAAATGATCAAGCATGCTCCTCGATGGTCCTCGTCGAAGGAAAAATGCACACGTCCGAACGATGCCAAGTCATCATTTGCAATGCCATGCCACGGCACTCAGTGCAATGCTATGTGGTCTTCCGCTGTGCGGTGCCGCGCCTTCGGCTGCAATGCCAGCATACGCGGCGTTTGACTACGCAGTGCCACGCCATGCTATGCCATGCTACGCTTTGGAATTCAGCGCCATGCTCTGCCATGTTCTGCGATGTGCCGCTGTGCGATGTCATTATTTGCGTTGCAGCGCTTTGTGGTGCAATGCTTCACTACGCAACGCCACGCCATCCCATCATGCTATGACATACTACGTTCTGCCATGCTCTTTACGCCCTGCTATGCCGTGCTCGACGATGCATCGCGCACCCTCTCGGGATCATTGCCCTGCTCGACACCCGGCTGTGCGAATAGGGAGGAGATCTACGCCATGGTGAAAGGATGGGAAGGAAGGGTAGGACGTCAGGTATGACGCGAGCGCACCTAGCTTGCTCCCAACCCCTCCCTCCCTCCTTCCCTTCCTTCCCCTTCCCTCCCTCCACCCTGTCCATCCATTCGCCTGCCTTCTCCGCCCTGTGGCACCCACACCCAGGGGGCGGTCGAGAGTGCGGGCCGGGCGTTTCGCCTGAGACTTCCTCGACACTTATGACGCTGATGCTTAAACATTGACGACGGCTTCACGAATGGAAAGCAGGAGTTGTCAAGATGTAGCTCTCGCCTTAGCACCGCGCACACCTGTCTAAAGCATTGCAAGAATTTCACGGATCGAGGGCGAGCAGTTTTCAACATGTGGCTCTCGCCTTAGCGCCGCGCGCATTTGTTTTAAACCGTTGCACGAGCTTCACGGGTTTGAGGGCGGTTCGATTTCAAAATGTGGTGTTTGCCGTAACGCCACGCTGATTCGCCCTGAAAATTTGCACGAGCTGTTCGGATTGAAGGCGTGCCGTTTTCAAAATGTGGTTCTCGCTTGAGTGCCGCACATTCGTAAACAAAAACTGCAAACATTTCACGGATTGAGGGCGGTTGAGTTTAAAAGTATGGTCCTCGCCGGAAAATCGCGCACATTCGTTTCAAACAAGTTCAGCAGCTTCACGTATGTAAGGCGGTTATGTCCAAAACTGCGGTTCTCGCTTTTAGCGCCGCGCACTTTTCATTAACCGAATATTTTAAAAAGCGTCAAGAGTTTCACATGCTCTCATGGTTACGTAAACGTACCAGACTCTGTAGTTTGGGAGGGTTCAGGATTGTCAAGGCGCTACAGTTACGCTGATTTCGGATATTGAGGTCCCAGCAATGGTGTGATTGCACAATTCTGGATCGCCAAAGCGAAACAATCAGGTTAACCCGTGGCGTTAGACAACCTGAAACTGTTCTTTTGGCAGACTTCAAGATGCTCACTTGGCTGCTCCCGAACGGGGCAATTCGCTATGGGAACGACCCCTTGCAGGGGCATCTGAAGAGGAGTCTTGGAGTGAGGGTGTATTTCAACATCGTTGGTGACTCTTGGGTTTGCACTGGGCTCCTCCTCCTCCTCCTCCTCCTCCTCCTCCTCCTCCTCCTCCTCCTCCTCCTCCTCCTCCCCCTCCCCCTCCCTCCTCCTCCTCTCCTCCTCCTCCTCCTCCTCCTTATTCTTCTTCTTCTTCCTCCTCCTCCTCCTCCTCCGCCCTCCTCCTCCTCCTCCTCCTCCTCCTCCTCCTCCTCCTCCTCCTCCTCCTCCCTCCTCTCCTCCTCCCCTCCTCCCTCCTCCCTCCTCCTCCTCCTCCTCCTCCTCCTCCCCTCCCTCCTCCTCCTCCTCCTCCTCCCCCGTCCTCCTCCTCCTCCTCCTCCTCCTCCTCCTCCTCCTCCTCCTCCTCCTCCTCCTCCTCCCCCTCCCCCTCCCCCTCCCCCTCCTCCTCTCGGCCCGCCGCCCCCCGCGCGCGCGCGTCTGCCGTCTTCCGCCAGACGGCGCCCCCGGCGAGTGGGTGGTCCGCCCCGGTCGCGGAGGCACCCCCCCGCCGCTCAGACCCAGTAGTCGCGATGGTGCTGGTGCGCCCGCTTCTTGTGGCTGGTCCTGCCGGTGCGCCGCGTCCCTTTTCTCCTTTCTGCATTCCTCCTTTCCCTCTTCCTCCTCCTCCTCCTCCTCCCCCTCCTCCTCTTCCCCCTCCTCCTCCTCCATTCCTCCTCAATCCTCCTTCTCTTCCTCCTCCTCTTGTGCTCTGTTCCTCCTCCTCCTCCTCGTCCTCGTCCTCCTCTTCCTCCTCCTCCCCCTCTTCTTCCTCCTCCTCCTCCTCCTCCTCCTCCTCCTCCTCCTCCTCCTCCTCCTTGCGTCACTGCGCCCCCACCCCTCCTGCGGCAAGCGAGCGGAGCGGAGAGGGAGCCGGGGAGCTGGATCGGGGAAAGGGCGGGGAGGGAGCGTAGAGTGGCGGAGCGGGCGGGGAACGCGAAGGGAGGGGCGAGTGGAGGGGAAGAGAAAAGGAGAGAGAGAGAGAGAGAGAGACAACCCGTAGAGGTGCTTGGAATGCCCCTGACACCGTCGGCACTGCGCCGGGCCCCTGACACCGTCGGCACTGCGCCGGGCCGGAAAGACAACTACAGCCTCTTCAAGCTGCGGTCCAGCGTTTTCGCCGGCTTCCTCGCGTTCTCGCAACCGGCACCCTATGCCACGGCGCTTTGTCTGCGCAAGCGTGTATCTTGTCGGTCAGCGTCCGTTTCGCTTTGTTGAACCTCACGGTCCAGTCCTCCTCCTCCCCCTCTTTCTCCTCCACCTCCTCCTCCTCCTCCTCGCTCCTCCTCCTCCTCGCTCCTCGCTCCTCGCTCCTCCTCCTCCTCCTCCTCCTCCTCCTACCGGCTTGGTGGTCGGCGAGCTCCACACTGATGTGCGTGGCACGCTGGCTGGGGGACGGGGAAGCGGCGGGGTGGAGGAGCTGGATCGACGTGTGCTTGTCTGCAGAGGCCTTTTCAGTGGGACTCAGGCATAATATTAAGTCGGACCTGTCCCCCTACAGGGGAATTTTCGACGAAAAATAACAACTACTCAAAAATTGCTCCCAATATGCCCCAACATAATCAACAAAATACTTCCCAGACTATGTTTTGGCTAGTGTTGAATAGTCCCCCTGTAGAGCGACAGGCCCGACTTCATGTTAACGCCAACTTGTGCTTGTCTGCAGAAGCCTTTTATGGGACTCAGGCATGATAGTGAGGGCCGACACGGGCTACAATACGGTAAACACACACACACACACACGGAACGAACACACGTCATGAGAATCGTCAAATGGAGGAGGCGCAATCGAACGGGAGCTCGCGCTGCACAGCGAGCAGCACCGCCCTCTCCCACGCCGACGGCGGCGACCCATCCGCCGCTCCATCCTCTCCAATCCCTCTCGTCCCTCCTTTGAGGTTCGGCGCTGCGGAAAAAAAAATGTGGCAACGTGAAAAATCACCGCTAAATCCATCGACCCTGCCATTGTGCGCCATGTTCGAAACCGGGCGAAAACGCCGGGCTCGAAACATCTGCACGCCTGGATCTGATGCTATCGAATACCAAACTATCAGACAAAACCGTGGATACACATAACCTGCGCTCTTCCGCTCGTTCAGTAAGGATCGCCACGAACTCCGCGACGAAAAGGAAGCGGGAGAAGACCACGCCACGCACACGCCTTGACCTCAGGATCCCTCTGAGTGGACGTTTGCACAGAGCGATCCACTGAGCTCACAGAGAGGGAGAAGGGGGATGGGGGAGGAACGTGGGCCACCGCTCCCATCTCCGCGCGGGCCTTCGCGTTGAAGGCGTGCGCGCGGGCTGAAGACCCTGGCAAGAGCACCCTTCCGAAACTTCCGCAAGCTATCTTCCCCTCTGGAGAACATCGTCCCTCCGATCGGCGTCGAGCCCAAGGGGGGCAGTGAGAAGGGGCAGGCCTTTCCAGAAAACTCGCAAACTCCTCCTGAAAACGCAAAACACGTCTCAGAAGGTCGGAGGGCCTCTGAGAACCCCCACCGCCTCCTGGCGAGGCCCTCCGCTTCGCACTTCCCCCCTCGGCGCGCGGACGACCTGAAGCTTCGGGTGATAGCTCGAGCCTCCAACGGCCGTCCGGGACGACCTGGGCAGGCCTGGGACGCTCTCGGCGGGGCGCGGTCGCCGGAGCGCTTCCTGGGGCAGGAAAGCCGCCGAGAGCCGACGGGGCACGCCCGAAAACCTCAAACCTCGAAGCGCCCCTCGCCCGCCGCCGAAGATCGTCCCTCCGGGAGGTCGGAGGAGGATGCGGAGAGGCTCCCGCCGCAAGCAGCGCGCCGATGACCCCACCCGTCGCTAGAGTGGGAACGCCGTCCTCCTGACGTACGTGCCCCGGCGGGCCTCCATGCTCCGCGCCTGTTGCGTGGGGGTGGTGCGGGGTCTGGACGGGGTGTTGGGAGCACGGAAGGGGGAGGAGGAGGGGGAGGAGGAATAAATGAGGACGGGGGGGAGAGGGAGGAGGTTGGGGAGGAGGAGGAAGACGAGGCGGAGGAGGAGGAAGAGGGGGAAGGAGGGGGAATGAGAAGCAGAAGGAAAAGGGGTGAAGGATGAGGGGGAGGAGGAGGATGAGGAGGAACGGGAAAACGGCGGGGAAGGAATAAGGAGAAGGAGGGGGTGGAGGAGGGGGGGAAGGAGGATCATGAGGAGGAGGAGGTGAAGAAAAAGGAGGAGGAAGATCAATCATGCCATTCTAGTTTTTTTGAACCTGCCTTCTGTTGAAATCCTTGGAACGTCGGGGCGCCACGGTCCCGGGGGCTCTCAAGAGCGGTGGCGCTTCGGCGCCCGAAAACATACATGCCACCTGTGGTGTGCCAGGGCGAAGCGAGCACAAAGATCCACGTCAGCGGATATGCAACGCAACGACACGAACACACAACAAGACGCGAGGGGGTGAGTCCGAAATCTTGGGCGGTGGTGGGGCTGGGATAAGCAGCGGCGCGCTTAGTCCAGCGGACCCCCGAGGGCTCTCCTCCCGTCAAGACAATGAGAGGCATCCGAGAGTACTGACAAGGCTTGCCTCAATAACTACGGCGTTTGACAGTCATCTTCTCGATTCATTCGTCCAGCGGACCACAGGGTCGTGTTTTTTTTTTCCATCTTGCTCCAAAGCCGCACGCGCACGTCACAACGTGATCGACGGTGAGGCCGCGGCTGAGGCCCTGAAATTCTGGAGTCGGCCAAATCAGACTAGGCTGTAGGTTTTCTAGAACCGAAAACGGCCAATTCGCTAATCGACGCGTCAGGGTAGGAGGTCTATCAACCTGCGATCCCTCCTCCCTGCCCGAGGCGAGGCAAGACGAGGATCAATTGGGGTGAGAATAGAGCGAGAGTCTCTGAGATCCGGCAACTCTGGAGACTGTCTCGGGCGCGGAGGCCTTCTCGGAGCATGCCGGGAACGCTCTTGAGAGCGTTACGGGACGCTCTGGAACCGATCTGTCCTAAACCTTGCCCCGTCCGACTACCTCCGGAAGGATTCGGTCCCGTCTCGGCCCGGATAACGCGGCCGCGCGGCGGGCGCGACGCGGCAACCACGATGCCGCCGCGTAGGTTTAAGGTGGGCCTGTCAGTAACAACAGGAGGAATACTCAAAAATAGTTTTAACAAATCTCGGGACTATTTTTATATTATGTTTTGACCATTTGGGGGGGTATGCTTGACTATTCTTATTTCTCGTTCAAAATCCCCCTGTAGTGTTGGAGGCCTGGAAATGGGCACCAACACCAACACAGGGGGTTGTCTCCACAGGGGGAAGATAATCCTAGATTTCGGTGTTGGTGGTAATATTGCGGCCACCTTGGAAACCAGAATCTTACCACCATCGCCGAGATCGGGATCTTCTTCTCTCAGTGGAGGCACACCGCCGAAATGGGTGGTGGTGTCAACCTCTAGGCCTGCGGTAGTGGGGGATAGGCCCGGCTGGAGCGTAGGCAAGTTGCGTCCTGCACCCGCGCGGGTGCCCTCCGGGAGGGGGCCCCGGCGGCCGCCGCACGGAGAGGGCGGGGGCAGGCGCGGGCCTCCTCCTCGGCGCCGCTGGCCTGGGCCCCGCGCCCCGGGGGGGGTGCGGCAGTGCCTGCAGACGTCGGCAGCACGTACAGGGCAGGTTTGAACGCATGGGATTTTTTTTTTTATATATATATATATGTATATGTATATATGTATGTGTATGTGTAAATCTATATATTTTTAGTACATGGATAATGTATGAATACATGTATGCATGAACTCATCGTTGTTTTTAATACTACATCCCTGCATGTTTAACACATGATCCGCACGCGGAGCATGTATAAAAAAACGGCACTGTGCAGTCGGGGCGTTGACCTAAGGAACCCTAAATAAGGAACGAGGTCCCTTGCTCCCATAAAATAAGTGTTGATTCCCCATGGAAAACGACAGGAAAACCCAAGGCAAACTGTGCAACATATCAAGGAGCACCGAGCCCCTCCCAAACGAAAAGGGTTTCTTCTTCAGCGCCCCGACTGTAGGGGAGATCGAGAGAGGGGAGGATGAATTGTTTCACATCGTCACACGCTCACGCCGTGGGCGCCACCAGGCCAAAGCGGCTGCACGAGGGGGGAGGTCGAGCGAGGGAAAGATGGGCCATTTCATGTCGTCGCCCGCTCACGCCGTGGGCGCCACCAAGCCAAAGCGGCTGCACGAGGGGGAAGATCCGGAGAGAGAAGGATGGGCTGTTTTATGTCGTCACCCGCTCACGCCGTGAGCGTCCCAAGCCAAAGCGGCTGCACGCGGAGAGGGACACAGGAGCGGAGTCGCGAAGAGAGAAAGAGGGGAGGGGGGCAGGAGGGACCTCCAGGGACTGGTGGGCTTCCGCAATGAAGCCCACGAGGGACTGAACAACCTAAGGGGTGCGACGACATCCTCAAACCCGTTGCCTGGCTCCTCCATGGCGCGTGTGAACAAACAGTGGTCTATCACGAGATGAGCCCACTCACGCAGTAAGAGCACCCAGTGGACACTGCAGGGGCATAGGCTCCAAGGTCTTGATCCACAGATCCCCTCGAGGTCGCATGCAAGCAGAATGAGAAGCGTGCGCGCTGCCAGTCCAAAGGGTCCTTCGCAGCCGGACAAAATAACGAGCACCCCATAGTTGATGTCATGGCTGGCTGTGCACAAACAGTGATCGTTCCTCGTTGTGGCAATACGCTTCACAATCGAGTGCAACTTATACGAATTCGATTTTGACAACAAGCGATTAACGGGGGTAAGTAACCGAGTCGCATATCCGACGCACGCTATCTACGACACCCATGCCTTTCCATGATGTTGAGGTGTGTTTGTTACGCGACGGCATGGGCTTCTGGAGGTCGCAGACAACACAGGCGTCGATCGCGAATACTTGCCCGAAGGCACCAAGGGCCAAGAGCGTCTGTCGGGAAACGCGCCGCCTCGGCTGCACTCTGCACCAATCTTCCTTTCAGCGGGCACGATTGGGGGGACCGGCTCAGGGGGAAATCGTCGACCTCGAACCGGCGACACATCGCTGATAGGTCGGTCCCGAAAGCAAAACCGTACGGTCCTGGGCAGGCTATCGGACCCCCATCCCATCGGCGGTACATGGGCGATTCGGGGTCGACGTCGAGCCTCCGCAGACGGTGCCCCCATAGTGCCCGCCGAGCGATGGAATACTCCTCGGAGAGAGTGGCTTGCGAAGCCCGGTGGGGCTGGATTGGACCACCCCCCGCGAGCAGCTAGCACAGCCCAACCCGGCGTAGTTAGCATTACGTCGGGCGTGTCCCCCTACAGGGGGATGTTCGACGAAAAATAAGAAATATTCAAAAATACTCCAAAATGGTAAACAAAACAAAAAAAACTCAACAGATAGTCCCCAGACTCGTTTCCTGACTATTTTTGAATATGCCTCCTGTAGATGGACGGGCCCGACTTAAAGTTAACACAGGCTGGGATGGACCCACTGTGCATACGCCCGAAAGTGTGACATGCCAGGCCTGAAAGTCATCAGCAATGAGATAGCACACTTACGTACCAGGCGGTGCTGGCTACTTCCAGCACCCCTAATCGAACAGCAGCGATACAAATACTGAGGTCCAGAATTTGAAGACCTGTGCTACCCTTCACTGCACGGTCGCAGCTTCGCCGTGCAAGTCTTCGGTGTAAGGCTGCAATGTCCCACCGTGTTGTCTGACATGGCCGTGGAACGGGAGAGAGAACAAGAGCAACAAACGAGAGGCAGAGAAACTATGGGAAAAGGAAGGATAAAAAGGAGAGAGAGAAACAGAGAAAGACACACACACACACACACATCGACACAACAATGGGAGAGGCAGGGGTAGAAACAGAGAGACAGAGAGAGCAATAGAAACAAACAAGAGGTAGATAAACTATGAGAAAATGATAAAAGGAAAGAGAGAAACAGAGAAAGACACACACACACATCAAAACAACAATGGAAGAGGCAGGGGGTAGAAACAGAGAGACAGAGAGAACAAGAGATAGGCAAACAGACTGACAGGCAGCCACGCGGAGAGACAGGCACGCACACATGCAGAGATGGAAAGGGCGATCGAGGGACGAGAGACAGAGATAGAGAGAGAGAGAGAAAGAGAGAGAGAGAGAGACATAGACAGAGAGACATAGAGAAAGAGATATGGATTCAAACAGGGCAGCAACAACACAATGAACGAGAGAGGGAGCGAGAGAGAGAGAAAGAGGGAGCGATACGCAACAAAAGGAATACATAAGGAAAGAGAGAGAGAGAGAGAGCGAGAGAGCGAGAGAGACAGATAGTGACAAAGAGAGAGCGGGGTATTAAACTAGCAAGCGAACACGAGAGACAGAGAGACAGAGAGAACAAGAGATAGGCAAACAAACTGACAGGCAGCCACGCGGAAAGACAGGCACGCACACATGCAGAGATGGAAAGGGCGATCGAGGGACGAGAGACAGAGATAGAGAGAGAGAGAGAGAGAAAGAGAGAGAGAGAGAGAGACATAGACAGAGAGACATAGAGAAAGAGAGATGTATTCAAACAGGGCAGCAACAACACAATGAACGAGAGAGGGAGCGAGAGAGAGAGAGGGAGCGATACGCAACAAAAGGAATAAAGAAGGAAAGAGAGAAAGAGAGAGAGAGAGAGAGCGAGAGAGCGAGAGAGACAGATAGTGACACGAGAGAGCGTGATCCACCGCCGCTTTACTGTGGAAAATTGCCAACCTTTTCCTCTGGAACCCGGGGGTCGCCCCCCCCCCCCCCCTCCGAACATCCCCCCCCCCCCCCAACACCCCCCCCCCCCCCCCCTCCCCGGCAAAACCTCCCCCTCCCCTACCCCCCCCCCCCCTCCCCCTCGAAAACCGGGGGGGGTCACTACCGGTTCGAACCCCTCCCCCCCCCCCCTCTCCGGATCCGGAAAACCGGGGGGGGTCACTACCGGTTCGAACCCCCCCCCCCCTCGAAAACCGGAGGGGGATCACTACCGGTTCGAACCCCTCCCCACCCCCCCACTCACCGCCAGCAAACGACTCCCGGTCCCTACCACCGTCCGCATCACATCCCCACTGTTGTTCCCAGCACCACTGTCCTCACCACCACTGTCCCCACTGTGTCCCCACCAGTGCCCCCACCACTGTCGCACTGTCCCCACTGTCCCCACCACTGTTCCCACCACGTTTCCACTCTCCCCACTGTCTCCACGGCCCCAACCACTGCCCGACTATCCCCACTGTCCCCACTGTCCCCGCCACTGTCCCACTGAGCTGTCCCACTGTTCCCACCACTGTCCCCACTGTCCCCACCACTGTCCCCACTGTACCTCTGTCCCATTGTCCCACCGCCGTCCTCACCACCGCCTTCACCACTGTCCCCACCACCATTGTACCCTCCACTGTCCCACTGTTTCCACCTCATTCCCACTGTGCCCACATCACTGTCCCCACCACCACCGTCCCTACCACTGTCCATTGTCCCCCCTGTTCCCACCATTGTCCCCACCACTGCCCCCACCACTACCGACCCTCTACTCTCCCACTGTCCCACTGTCCCCACCACTGTCCCGCTGTCCCCTCACCACTGTCCCCACCAACACCGTCCCCACCACTGTCCGCACCCCCACTCGGTTTTCGAGGGGAGGGGGGGGGGGATCGAACCGGTAGTGACCCCCCCCCGCCCTTTTCATGATGAGCGGGGGGGGGGGGGGAGGGGTTCGAACCGGTAGTGACCCCCCCGGTTTTCCGGAGAGGGGGGGGGGGGGGGAAAGGGTTCGAACCGGTAGTGACCCCCCCTCGGTTTTCCGCCAGCAGCGGTAGAACACGCTTTTTCTGACACAGAGAGAGAGGGGTATTAGACTAGCAAGCAAACACGAGAGACAGAGAGAGAGAGAGAGAGCGAGACAACACACAAACAAACACAGTGACAGAGAGAGAGGAATATAATAGGAGGGGGCGGAGGGGGGAGGAGAGGGATCATTCGCAAGAGACGAAGGAAAGCAGAAGAGAAGGCAAGGTGTTTAGATTGTTCCTGCGAGGGCCCGAGGGCTTGCGTTCCGCACGGGGCCCGCGCGAGACAGGGGCCGCCAGCGCGGCCAGTCCCACCCTCGCACCTCCACCTGTGCATCCGCCCCCGGCCTTCCCGCGTCCAAACCAGATTCTCCCACTTGCATGTGTTGCTTGTCCTCTCGGGCGCCCAGCTTCCCAGCGCCAGTTCTTTCGGCACGTCCCTCAGGTCGTGATCGTGCGCTAGATGTTCCATCTTGTCGTCGAATCCCACCAGCCTTCTAGGCGCAGGTGGTTTAAAGCGTTTCCTCTTCCACCCCTCCTTCGTCCCTTTCGGGGAGGGGTCTACCCCTCTCCCTACCCCCTCCCTCCCCTGGACCTGAACAAGGGGTTTCGGGAGTCGTCCGAGCGTCCAAAACGGCGTCGGCGAAAAAAACCAAACTCGTTGGTTTTACCACAGTTTTGGCCGCATTTTGGCCTCCTGAAAGGGGGGCCCTAATTAGTACCCCCCCCCCCCTCCTGTGATCGTTCTCACCCAAGATGGCCCAAAAATGGCCCCCAGGGCTCCCAAGGGTGCCCCAAGAGGGCCCCAAGAGGTGGCCAGGAAACCCCAAGAGGCCCCCAGGATGCCCGCAAGAGGCTTCCAAGAGACCCCCAGGAGGACCCAAGAGACCCCCCAGGGGCACCCAGGATGTTCCAAGAGGCCTCGGCGAGAATGCCAAATCACTGATTACACCAAGGTTTTAGCCACATGTTGGCCTCTTGGGGGGGGGCACTGATTAAGATGACTGCAGGAGCGCCTGTGAGAGCCCAAGATGACCTCTAAGATGGCTCAAGATATCCTAAGACCTTGTCTCAGAATGGCTTCCTCTGAGTGCTGCCCACTTCCATGCTCGAGGCAATTCCTCTTGACATCGTTTCTGGATGGCCTGGTGGGGATTATTTTTCGGTCGCGGCCGCGAGACGACGGGCAGGCGGCAAGAACAAAGTCCGGGACGCGAGCTGGGCGAATTAGCTAAGACAAGGCAAGCCGGCCGGCCCACTCAGACAGCAGCTGCGAAGCTGAGGGGGGTGGAACTGACGGCGGACATCGCCCTGCAAGCTCGAGCACGTGCACCGGACAAAGTGTCTCGGAATTCAAGGCTTGCCATGGCGCAGCCCACACAAGAGAGAGACAAGGACCACCATGGTCAAGTCCGTCGTGCTGGGGGATGGCAAGTGGGGGGCCACTGGAGTGAGTCGCCGATGGGGCGCCAGGCTCCGAACGCCCTGCGACCTAAGCCAGCCAGACAGGCTGAGCAGTCGTGAGCCGTGGTGCAACGCAACTGGGGAAGCTGAGGGTGGGCCCGTAGGGCTGTACCTGCTGCGGAAGGCTGCACCACTCTGCGCCTGGTGGGGATTCGCGAAACGTCAACAATTTGTGCATCCTGCCAAATAGTTTCTCGTGCGTCGGGTGGTAATGCTGCTGTTGTGGCTGCGCCTGTTGGTGCTTCTGCTGTTGCCGCATCTGTGTCCCTGGCTGCGGGCGCGCCCGCCAGTGCGGCCACGGCGTGCCCGCCCTGCTGCAGGCACGGCGCGCCAAAGCTTCCGCCAGCGACGCTCGGGTCTTGTAGGATTTGCCTGCGCGTCTGGTCGCCGACGGGGGTTTCGTGCTGCCGCGCGGGCTGATGCCATCCGATGCTGCCGCTACACATCGAAATGCTCTCTCGCTACATTGCCACTGAAACTGCTGCGTCGGCTGCGGCGGCGCTGGGCTGGCAGGCCGCGGCGCTGCGAAAACGCCAGTGTGACCATTGGCATGTTGTGGCGTACGCGAGCGGTCCCTGCGGCCGTGCCATCGCCGCTGGCCAAGACCGCGGCCGAAGCGGCGCGGGGTCGGACCGCCCACGCTGCAGGCGACGTGGCTGGAGGAGCTGGGCGCCTCCGGTCGCCGGGTCGCGCGGCGCAGCCCCGTCGTTCCCTTGCTGACCGGGGCCTGCGGCGGAGTCTGCGGGGCGCGCCTCGGCGGGGCATGCGCCGCGGCCCGCCGCGGTTGGACGGTGGGCGGGGCCGCGGCCGAGGCAGCTGGTGGGGCTGCGCTCTGCTGCCGCGCGGGTATGCTCGGCGCTGCCCGAGCCTGGGCTGGTTCACCCGGGGTTGCTTTCTTGGGCCCGCGGTGTTCGTGCTCTTCGTGCCGACTGTTTGTCAATCGAGGCTCGGCGTCTGCGTCGCATTAGGTCGGGCCTGTCCCCCTACAGGGGGATTTTGGTTTTGGGCGAAAAATGAAAAAATGCCCCAACAAAAACCCAACAGACTCAAAAACTGTGCAACACATTGTCCCCGAACTATTGTTGGAATATTTCTGACTATCCCCCCTGACATATTCAGAAAGACAGGCCCGACTTGAGCGTCGCGCTCGTCGTCTGTCGGACAGACGACGTGAAATCGAGACAGACGCTGTCTCGCTTCCCCGGGGCCCGCGAGTTGGGCCCGCGCGCCTTTCGCCCCCCCGCTCTTCATCGCGGCGTCGCTTTGGGCGAGGCCTCCGTAGACGCGCGTGCGGAGGGGCATGTGCGACCGTGCTCTGCGCTCGCGGGCGCGACCTTGTCCGACTTCTTCGGAATACATTTAATGCGCGCAACTCGGGCCGCCGCTGCAGCCGCGTCTTCCGCGGTGGCCCCCGGCCCCATGGGCGGTTCCAGAAACGCCCAAATCTCGCCGAGGTTCGCGAAATTCCTCGGCGCGCGCGTGCAGGCGGGAAAACCGAGGCCCGCTGCAAAACCTGAGGTGCTGGGCAACCAGGAGGTCTCGCACGTCTCTTCGTCGATCTCGTCGCTCGAGGCGCCGCCGTCGTCGGCGCGCAGATCGCCGAAGCCGCGCGGCAATGCGCGACCTCCGGCGCGACGCGTGACGTCACCGGCCCCTTTCCCGCTCCCACCCCGGCGACGGCCGCCATCGCCCTGGAACGTGCTGCGCCGACAGGGCGCCCTGGAGTTTCCCCGGGCGGCCCAAGACAAGCGCACCTTTCCCCCCTTTGTGTTCAGCCTGTCCGCCAGTGCGACTTCGCAATAATTTGCGCCTTCCCAAGACTGGCCTGGTTCCTGGCCGCGGCGTCCATGGTGCGTTTTGATGTTCCGCATCGCGTGCGCCCTGGCGCTCGCCTCTTCGATCATTCGGCGGCGTTTTTCCTGCTCTGCGGCCTCGTGGGCCCACTGAACACTCCCAGCTCCCACAACGCCTTCGCCCTCTCGGGATGATTCGCGCATGCCCTTCAGGTTCGCGCCCCTGCCGCGGCGGCGATCCTGCGCCTCCTGGCGGCAGCTGGCCTCCCGCAGCAATTCCTCTGCCTCTGTTAGGGTTCGGATGGCCGCCGCCGTCGCCGCCGCCTGCCCCGCACTCTCTGCATCCATCGCGTCTTGCGCAGGAGCGACGCTTTCGGTCGCCACTGGGGCCCCCGCATCCTTGCCCGCCTTGCTCTGGCCACCCTCGCAGTCGGTTGTGCCAGCAATGTCTACGACAGTTTCACTCAGCCCTTCCATCTCTGATGCGTGGGCGTCGCGATCTGTTTCCGAATCTACCTCGTCCACGTCCTCCACTGCGTCGCGGTCCTCGCCCATCTTCTCCTCGCTGGGCGCGTCCAGCACGGCGTCCACGCTGCGGTTTGCCCCGCAGGGCTGCAGGGGCCTGGCCATACCTCTGGAACTTTATCTACCAAGCACTTCTGGCGACATTCCTCGCGGACTTCCGCCACAACGGCGTCCACCTTCGTCCTGAGGCTCCCGCCCACGTGACGCGCTTCGCGGACGATCTCGATGTCTTGGGTGCCGTCGAAAAACGCGCATATGCCAAATTGGAAAGGCCCATCGGCTGCATTGACGTGCAGCCCGATGTCGCCCAACACCCGTGAAATGATATCGATGTATTCCAGTCGCCGAAACTGTGGCGTTCGCTGGCCGCCGATAATGTTTTGCAGCAGGGCTGCCGACCCCAAGGCCATATAGATCCTCTTCGCATGTTTGCTCACGTACGTGTCCATGGGCTGCGCCACAGGCGTGGTCTTTCCACCGTCCACTGTGAACGCCCAGGAGCGTTGCCAAACGATTCTGCGAACTGCGTCTGGCACCCAGGAGCGTTGCCAAACGAGTCTGCGCACTGTGTATGATTTCTGCGGCGAGTGGCCGTCCGCCTTCAGAACCCTGAGGGCCTCGCCGGCGCAAAGTTTGCCCCACATCCACCTGGTGCTGCTGCAAGAACACCACGCCGCCCGCCAACCGCTCAGTAAGAGACGGTCTCCGAAGTCGTCGTGGACACCCAGTGGCCGTACCCGCGGCTGCGGATATGAGCGGCCAGGTCGCCCTTGATCTGATCCTTCCCTGAAGCAGCTCCCTTTCCCCGGAACAAAAGGAAGATGGGGAGTGAGGACGGGGGGATGGAGGAGGGGAAGGAGGAGGGAGGAGGAGGATGAGGCAGGGATGGAGGAGGAGGATGGAGGAGGAAGGGAGGGACGGGGTGATGGTAGTGGCTGACGGTGGAATTGCGGTCAACGCGTGTTCATGAATCGACGTGCGTAGGTGCTCACAGAAGGCTCGCAACAAAAAACGCTAGCTGCCGAAGCTGCCTCCTGGGGGGGAGAAATATGGGGAGGGAGGGGGGAGGGAAGAGGGGAGGGATGGAGGATGGATATAGAAAGAGAGAAAGAGAGAGAGAGAGAGAGAGAGACAGAGACAGAGACAGAGACAGAGACAGAGACAGAGAGACAGGATGAATGGGGGAGGGGAGGGAGGGTGGGGTGACGAGAGGGGGATGGATGTGGAGGGGGAGGACAGAGAAAATAGAGCGAGGCAGGAAGGAGGGGAGGAACAAGGGGGGAGGGAGGACAGTTACGAAGGAAGGCGGGGGGGATGGCTGGAGGGGGAAGGAAGGGGGGGAGGGGGGGCGGGGGGGAGGGGGGGAGAGAGAGGGGGAAGGGGGGGGAGGGAGGGAGGGAGGGAAGCAAAGAAGACATGGAGAGGGGGGAGGGGAAGAGTGCCCCCACCCGCGACTGCACTGGCGGGGAGGGGCGCGGCCGCGTGCTGGACGAAGTTCAGCCCGCTCCCGGAGGGGGGGCAGACGGGCAGCAACCTGGGCGGCGCCTTCCCAACCCTGCTGCTGCTGCTGCTGCTGCTGCTGCTGCTGCTGCTGCTGCTGCTGCTCCATCGCCTCCCCGTCCCATCCCTCCCTCTTCTCCCTTCTCCCCGCCCCCGTCCCCCGTCCCTCGCTCTCTCCATCCCTTAGGGGGCCACATGCGAACCCTACCCCCACCCCCCAAGATTTCTGAGGGGGAGGCTGGGGTTCATTTCGCTCGGAAGCTCCCGAACGAAGTGACCCCCCCCCCTCCCGCCCAGAAATCGTGGGGGGTAGGGGTAGGCTTCGCACGTGGCCCCCGATCCATCCCTCCCCATCGCTCCCTCCCTCCGCGCTCCTCATCAGCGACTTCCATCTGTCTTTCTCCGAGGCCCCGCCGACGCCGAGAAAAACCTGCGAGCTCCGCCTTTCCGAGAGACCGCCCAGGAAGGGTCGGGCGGCATTGGCGGGACCTCTAGGGGGGACTCTTGGGGTCGCCAGGGACGCTCTCTCCGTAGCCATTTTGGCCGTTCGTGGCACCCCCGGTTCTGCAAGAGTTGCCATGGCACCGAACTCTCTCTGGGCGTCCGTTCCCCATGATCGAGGCTTGGAGGGCACGGGAGAGGAGTTCGCAGACATTCTCGTACAATTGGCATGGGAGTGTCTGCGGGTATAAGCACAGCGTCTGCTTTCAGAAACGTCCCGTCTGAGTCTCAGAGGAGTTCCTGCCGTCGCCATCTCGGAATTGAAATCGGCGTTGGCATGACGGGGTGAAGCAGGTATATGGCCGCGTCGGTCGGGTGGGGTTTGGGCATGCCGCTCAACCCTCAGTTTCCAGGTGCGCCACAACATGTCCTGCTGGGCTACATGACGCTAGACGGCAAGTCTGTGAGGTGGAGTTTTCTCCTGGACCGCCATGCTGGGGCCTTTGCGGCCATGGACCGTCTCCAACTAGGCTTCCTGGGCTTGCTGGGCGCGAGGCTCTCTCCAGGCGCCGCCATTCCGTACATGCAGCGGCTTGGCCTGATCGCGAGAGGGGGCCGTCCTACGCGAGCACCGCAGCGACGTGGGACAGGAGCCTCCTGCGGGACGTTTCGGAGCTCCCTGAGGTGGGGTCCACTCGCCGCCTCTGGGTGCAGGCGGCAGACCACAGTGGGGTCCTGTGGCGTGCCTGTGTCCTGTGTCTTCCCCCTGCCCCGAGAACAAGGCCCGACCGAGTGGGAGGCCGAGATGGCAGGCGTCAGGGAGGACCTGTCACGGAGATGTGGCGGGCAACCCGGCGAAATACCTCCTATCATCCTACTTTTTTGTTGTTGGGTGGCGAGCGTGGCACGGCACGTTTCGTTGCCAATAGGTCGTCGCCGAGTTCCAATCTTCGAAGACTCCGCCACCCCGTATGGGGTAATGAGAGAAGCGAAAACCGACGGATAGGGCACAACAATCAACAATGGGCGACATCAAACACCGATCCTATCATCCTACTAATGGGCGACATCAAAATGCAGCCCGCTTCGCTTGGAGGCGACAGGGAGCCGCTACCGAGTCGAGACAAACGGTTGGCGGCTTTCCTAACATATTGGCCCTTTGACCTACTACATCCGCTCGTGGGCCACGCCGCCGCTGCAGCTTCCAGCTCAGGCCAAGTGACACGCATCACGGGCCAGGGCTATCCAGGTGCATCGATGCGGTTGTAGCGTCGGCAGCAGCATCGGGGATATCTATAATCCACAACGGCCTACACGTTTCGAGAGGCTAACCAGAATCACCCTGCCAGTGACCCGATGAGGAATGTGTGGAATACACACTCGGGGGCAATTCCTGATTGAGGCTGATGTGCCGCTGTGTGTCTCGTCAGCCACGTAGGACCAAGGCCCCTTGCGGATGCCCAGGTGGTGGCTGGGCATGGCCGGCTGGGCGGTGGGCGTGCAAGCAGCAGAGGCGTCCTTGAGGGGTTGTGCTGTCGTGGCTGAGGAGCTCAGCAGTAAAGCCAGTGGGTTGCGCAGAAGAGATGCGCAGTGGGTCTGCGACGCGTCGGCGTGGTTGTTTCAACTCGTTCTGAGCCTGTCCAAGGCGGGCTGGGTTGTCCCTTGTCGGACACGGCTCGGACGGCGAGCAGGGGTCGACTGGGGGGACAAGTGTACCAAGCGCGTGCAGGTGCGAAGGCCGAGGGGTGTCTGGCCCGAGCCTTGCCTGCGGGTGGGCTCGACCGTGCTCTCACCGGCGGACTCGCTGTTAGAGCGCGGGAAGCAGGTGCAGAGACAGTCGGACTGGCCAGGGCCGTGGGACGCGAGCCATTCCCTTGTGCAGAAGGAGTCAGCTGAACTGGAGGGAGGCGCGTGGACCCAGAGAGGCTTGGGGGCGCATGATCTTCCAGTCACGCAGAACGAGGTCTGTGTCACAGAGGGCCGGTGGGCGCGGACGGATGCCACGACGCCAGAGCTGGTGCCCAGGATTGTCTTCCAGCTGGGAGCCCCGAGCCTGGACCAAATTGCGTGGCTACTGGTGCACAACACGGGCCCTGGAGCCCTGGCCCTGCGCCCGCGCGCGTGGAGAGGGCTCTGCGCCGGGCTTACTGCAGGAGGCGATCCAAATCGGAAGACTGAAGGGCGACTTCAGGGCATGCTGGGCCAGAAAAGTTACGTCAAAGATGTGGGAGAGGCGCACCTCGTCTTATTTGCGCTGCGGCCGCAAGGCAGCAGAGGGCCATCTGGCTGGTTTTCGGGGATCTGCATGCAGAAGGCTTCCACGCGGGTATGGCGAGAACAGTTTCTCCGGACGTTCGCCCACCGGGCGGGGGTCACAGGTGAGGCACTGGCCATTCTGGGGTCCATGCTAGGAAGAAGACCACGTGCATGTGAATCACAACCATGTGCACGTGGAGACCGGCGTACAGGGCCTTGCCGAAGGAGGCAATTTTTGGCCTCTGTGTTTGCCTTCGCACATGGACGAACTCTCGATCGCCCTCGTTGACGCCGGTCTTGGAGTGGGCCTGGGGGGAGCCACGCCTGCGAAGTGGCAGGCAAGAGAATGGTCATGCACAGGGACTCCGGTGGAGACGTGGTCAAGGCAGCTCCTGGTGGATTCGGGAGCGGCCAAGAGGGGGGTGTCCAAGAGGGGGGGGGTGCAAATCATGACTGGCGGCATGTGCGCGGCCCAGCGGGAGGGCCACGGACGTGTAATGGAATAAGAAGAGGCGCCATTCCTCCATTCCCCCTCCTCCTCCTCCTCCTCCTTCTCCTCCTCCTCCTCCTCCTCCTCCTCCTCCTCCTCCTTCTCCTCGCTTGATTCGCGCCGCCGGCGCTCCGCTCCGCGCGAAGGCCGAGCGGAGAGCCCTCGGCCGTGCGCCCTGGGCCTCCGAGTATAGCCCGAGTCCGAGGATGCGGGGCCCCGTCGTCGGCCCCTGGCAAGATTTGTTCCCCACATCCAAAGTGGGGTTCTTGTTTTCTCTGGACACCCCGCGCAGGAACAGGAACCCTCCATCATCATCATCATCAGCATCATCATCATCATCATCATCATCATCATCATCATCATCGTCATCATCATCATCATCATCATCATCATCATCATCATCATCATCATCATCATCATCATCATCATCATCATCATCATCATCATCATCATCATCATCATCATCACTCACCTCACTCACTCACTCACTCATCATCCCTCACACACTCACTCACTCACTCACTCACTCACTCACTCACTCACTCACTCACTCACTCACTCACTGACTCATCAGCACTCACATATGATGATGATGAGTGTGCGCGTGAGAGAGTGTGATGATCATCATCATCACCAGTCAGTCAGTCAGTCACTCACTCACTCACTCACTCACTCGCCTTGGGCCTCGTCTGTGAGTGAATTGCGAGGAAGTCTCAAGCGGGAGCCCCCTCCGTATGGGGCCCGCGGATCATGTTACTAATGCGAGCGGGTCATCCAATTCCTGTAACTTTCGCCACTTTTGGGCTCTCGCGCTGCCAGAACGCCATTCCCAGGCCACATTTTGAATGCCTGGAGCCAACTGTAGGCCACTTCGTGTTCTTCGTGCTCCCAAAACACCACTCCCGGGCCACATTTTGAATGCCCGGAGCCAACTGTAGGCCACTTCGTGTTCTTCGTGTTCCCAGAACACCACTCCCGGGCCACTTTCTGAATGTCCGGAGCCAAAACAAGAGGGCGAGGTCGGGGGCAACGTAGGGAGCGGGGGGAGCGCCCGCGCCAGGGCGAGAAGAAATATACGCAGAAGAAACAGCCAGGACGCCTCACCAACCACGAGGACGACGGTGAGGGCTTTTTCCAGATTCGCCCAGAGGATTCTCATGTGGGGTCCTTCGGTCGGAGTTTTTTTTTCTCTTGGCGAGGGGCCGAACATTGGCTTAACAGTTTCAACGCCGTTTTGTGTGGTGCGTGAGGCGTGGCGCCACAGAGGGAGAAGAGGAGGGAGACGAGGCCGAGGGGGAAGCAACGACGATCCCAAAGCGCAGAAACGACAAAGCGGGAGGACAGGACACGAGAGAGGAGGCGACAGAACGCGTCGGCCCCTGGCAACATAGCGCCCCCAGCCCCTGGTTTGATCGTCTGAGCAGGGACCGACCGTCCCGGCATTCCTGTAGTCCTACCACGAGAAATGCTCTCGGAACCCCAAAATGTTCTCAGAACAGAAACAATGTTCTCAGAACATAGACCCGATGTGTCAAAACAAGACGGTCCGAGCAAGAAAGGTTCTAAGAACATCTCGTGGAAACCACAAAAGGTTCTCAGAGCAGTGTTTGGCAGGGCTATAGGCGAGCCAGGACGCTTCGCCACTGCTTGAATCGTCCGATGGGGGCGCGCCTGTAGGTTTGCGAGGCCCGGCTCTCCGACCTCCCTCTCTCCTCTCTTCCCATTCTGTGGGCGTCCAGTCCATCTCCCTCCCTCCCGTCGGGCCGCCGCTGCATTTTGCTGTGGATGGCAGTGGCGAGTCGTTCGTGCGTGGGTGCGTGTGTGTCTGTGCGCGTGTGCTGGCGATG